GGTTCAAATCCTGCCCCAGAGACTTACTAGCTGTGTGACCCAGAGCAAGTCACTTAACCTCTGTCTGTCTCAGTTTCCCATCTGTAAAATGGGGATTATAATAACACTTGCCTCCTAGGGTTATTGTGAGGATCAAATGAGATATTTGTAAAGTACTTTGCAAACCTTAAAGCATTATATAAATGCTAACTATTATTATGGTTAGTTAATTGATATTACACACAATTTTTAAAAAATCTATTTCCCACATGATGTGCATATACTGCATTTCTATTCTTTTCTATGATGAAAAGTACTGATGTTAAAATATTTTGGTATAAATGGAAGCTTTCTTTATGCTTTTAACTTATTTTAACATATATGCCAATGGGATCTCTGGGTCAAGGGGTATGTACTTTAGTAACTTTTAGGCATTTCAAATTGCTTTCTAGAATGGCTAGACCAGTTCACAGCTCCACCAACAGGGTAATGGTATTGTTGTCTTCCTATAGCCCTTCTAACACTATTTCCATCTTTTGACATCTTTGCTAATTTCAGGGTGTCAGAGGAAATCTGAGACTAATATAAATTTCTCTTATTATTAGTTACACAGAGCAATGTTTACTGTGATTTTAGTAGTTTGCAATTCTTTCGAGAACTGTTTTTTCATATCTTTTATCCAACTATTCATTGGGGGAATGGCTCTTGGTCTTTCATATTTGTCTTAAATTTCTATATGTATTTGATATCAGAATTTTATCACAGACATTCAATGGGTTTTGCAGACACCACTACTGAAAGCCTAGACTGGCAGACACCTATGCCACTCTACTCTCTCTTCTACTATTGCTCTTGGACCAGCCATCCATGACCAAGTCAAACCTATAATATACTCTGACTTCAGCGTTGATAAAGAGCCTCTAGGCAGAGTTACCTTCTGGTTATTTGCAGACCAGGGTCCAAAAACAGGAGGGAACTTCTGTTCTCTGAGCACTGGAGAGAAGGGAATGATTACAAGAGGTCTTGCTTTTACAGAGTCATTACTGGGTTTATGTGTTAGCATGGTGACTTCACACACCATAGTGGCACTAGTGACTAGTCTATCTATGGGGAAAATTTGTGGATGAGGGCTTCATTCTGAAGCTGTCTATGGACAATTTTCATAAGTTTTGTTTTGTGCTGGTCTTAACCACCAAATCATTTCCCTATAGCTAGGGAGAGAACCCTCCCACCACCACTCCAGTCTGCCCTCAAACCCTGTAATCCTTGTGCTCTTACTTGCTGCAATTCTCTTTGGATTTCATTTTCCCTTTCCTTCCACATATCAGACTAGATGTCAGAGTTAAGATTAGCATTATGAAATTTTAAAAATGAAATGAACAAAAGCAAAAGATAGTCAATAAAAATTCCTAATAAACAGTTTTCCTTTTTAGCCTAGCTGCATTGATTTTGTTCATGCAAAAGCTTTTCAATTTCATGTAATAGGGATGGTCTGTTTTATCTTTTGAGTTCTCTTCTTTCCCTTGTTGCACTAAGAATTTTCCCCAGGCATCGCTATGAAAGGTGGTACTATCCCTTTTCTTCCATTTTTAATGATGTGAATTTTTATATTTTGATCATTTTGTCTTTTAGGGCTTAAATGAGGTGGGGTGCAATTGTTGCAGCATTCTGGGATGTGAATGTGGTCCTAAAAAAAGGCCCTATCTTAGTTGAGGTAAGTCAAGTCACATGTGACCCTAAAGAAGGGCCCTGAGAGAAGGGAACTCTACCTGCTTGCTTCCTTAATATTTTTCACTGGTAACTTTCCAAACAATGACCTGAATTCTTATAGTCTCTTAGGAGAAGCTCTCTGTGCTTGCTATAGAGAGAGAAGATTAGGCTACTCCCTCACTCTTTCTCTAAGTTAATGGTTTCTTTCTATTAGGAATATAGAGCCAAGTGTCTGGGCTTTCCTGTCATCGTACACCTTGGGTCCCTCTCACCTTGAAGGATGAGAGAGAGAAGCCTTTAGCAGCCGAGCGCCAGTTATCATGATGTTATACAACCCCAGCATGTTGCCAATGTTTTTATATAATCCTCTAGTTCTCCCCATAAAACAGCCCATAACACCCTGGCAAATAGATTTCAATGGAGCTGTATGCTCTTACAGGGATACACTGTTCTGCGGTGATGAGTCACATTGATGAAATAGCCAAGATTAAGCTTCAACTCAACTTTTCCCTGTTTCCCCTCTCCTCTTTCTCTTCCTCCCCCACCCTGGAGGAATAGAAAAGGACAGAAGAACCATAAGCCTCATTGCAACATCACTTCAGGAGGAAAATCACTGAGTTGTGTGTGTGATGAGAAAGAGCTTATGAAATAAGGATGATGCCCTATGCTCTCTCAAAGAGAATTTTGGAAGACCACATAAAGATTTAAACAGCATAGCATGCAGGTATGGGAGGTATTTCACAGATCTGAGTGAAAATCCTGTTCCAAGACTTCTGGGGAAATGAGCCCACCAAGAGTTCCTGCCTTGACTTAACTAGACACACCAAGGGTTCCAGCCCAGCCCTAACCAGACCCACAGCAGGGGCACTTAACCTTTTTTGTGGCATTACAGACCCCTTCGGCAGTATAGAAAGGGTTATGAGCACCATTTCAGAATAACATTTTTAAAGGCATAAAACAATATACATAAGAGTATGAAGGAAATTAAGTATATTGAAATACAGTTAAAATATTTTTTAAAAGTAAGGTCATAGATTTTAAGTTCAGTATCTCTGAACCAAGGTTCCAGGTCCCTGCCCTTGCCAGAATCACTAAGAATCCTGGCCCCTGCCCTCATGAGGCCCGCTAACTAAGGGTTCCTGCCCAGGTAAGAATGGGAGATTAAAGGTTCCTGCATCACTTTCACTGTTCCTGCCTTTCTCTAACTAGACCCACTATAAATTCCTATCCAAACTTCACCCTGGATTACTGCCCTGGCCAAACTGTACCATTAAAGGTTCCTACAGAGGTTTAGTGATACCCATTGGTTTCTGCACAGGTCAAATAAAATCCTTCAAGGACTTTTGACTTGACTTAACTAGCTACAGTATGCGCTCTTGTGTTGTCTAAATGTATCCAACACTAGTTTTTACCTTGGCCTTTCTGACCCTCTAATACAGGAGTTCTTAATCCTGAAGGATCTATAAACAAATTTCATAGGGGACAGTGGATTTAAAAAATTGAGAATTTTTTTTCATTAGAATTGATTTTCTTTTTATTTTATGCAGTTAAAACTATTGTTCTGAGAAGGGGTCCATAGACTTCACCAGTCCACCAAAGGGATCCGTGAAACAAAGAAGGTTAAGAATCCCTGCCCTAAGAGGTCCTGCCCTCCCCTCCAGAAGGAAATGCAATCTATAGATGGTATAGTAGGAAAAGTTCTGGGTTTATGGCCAAAGAACAAAGATTTCAAATTCTGGCTACTCCACAGACTGTGTGACCTTGAGCAAACAACTTCATCTCTGTGGGCCTTTGTTTCCTGATCGGTAAAGAGGGCAGAGGTGAATTAGATGGCCTCTGCATTCCCTTCCAGCTGTAAGACTAGGATTCTCTATTTCCTAGACTCCAGTATAGAAAGTATCATGGCATGCTCCAGACTAGAAGTCTGCTTCCCCAGGGGAAGCTCCCAGACAGCTCCCTCCTATATTCCTGTTACTGCATGGGGGAAACTTACAGGTAAGAGACTGGTTGTGTATAAATATAAGGTAGCCCTTTTCAATCTTTCTGGAGCTGTCACTACATAAAACTGCTAATGGTGTAAACACACACACACACACACACACACACACACACACAAATTTTCCTCCTTCCTTGGTGTCTCAGTGCATCACAGAACCAGCAGCCCACCCCACCTCTAGCACCAACACCATCCCAGGACCCCTTTCTCTTCCTGCAGCACAAAGTGGGGGAAGTGCAGGTTTCCATCATATGGCCTTACTTGAGTGTGAATTGCAGTGACACTAATGTAGATTTATCTTCCAGACTGATCCTCCTCTGACCAATCGATGGAAGAAAGTTCAATGTCATTTTAAAACCAAGTTGATAATGGATGTTTCAAGGGCCCTGAAGCTTAAAGTCACTACTGTCAAAGTAGCCTTACCTAGGGGCCCATAGGTAATAATGTGACAATCGCCCCCCCATCTTTGGCTTTGAGTTTGCTCTTCTCTTAGCCTGTTCCCCAATCTTCCAGAATTTTTTATTGAAGGTTTTCCCAATATGGCTCACTATAAGGGCAGAGAGCAAAGGAGTGGGGAATGGGGATATGGGGATGGGAATGGGGGAAAGCAGCACTTTCATTTTTGGGGAAATCAAAGCGAATTTGAGGGCCAGTTCTGAACCTGGGAGACCCTGAAAGCAATGAATGCCTCGCATACCACAGTTACGTCTGCGTGTCTCTGGACTGGCTCTCCAAATCTTTTATGTTTCGTGCCCTCTCTTTCCACTTCCCGACTTTATCATTTCTTTTAAAGGGAGGGAAGGAGAGAGCAACTTGTTTCCCTAACCGTTCGCCTTATAGCTGCTGAGCAGAAAACAGCACCTTCCTTCCCCAGACAACGTCCTTCTCTGCTATGAAGAGTCTATGGGAACCATCTCAAAAGTTCTCACAAGATACCAATTTGGAGTAAGCCCTGTCTCAATATTTATTGAGTAAATCAATGAAGGATTCGCATGCCAAGCGGAGACCTGAAAAGCACAGAAGCCAGGAGGCTAACTCCTCTGTCCACCCCCACCCTCTTCTCAGAGGTTGACTTCTTCTCTAGGAAGACCTAAAAAGGCTAAGGGGAGTCTCGTTTCCCTTTCCCTTAAATACAGACCCAATCCTGCCTATGTCCAGAGAGCTGTCCCTGGTGCCTGTTCCCCATGCAACACAGGCGGGACAGTGCACCCGCGCCCCCTCGGGGTAGACGCGCGCTCTCACTGCGCCCTTTCTGGTCTCCCAGCCCCCCTCCCCGTTCCTCCCTGCAGCTGGCCTGGTCCCGCGCGCCGCTCACCATTGAGCTGGTTGTAGACCACCTCCTCCAGGTGGTCGAGCCGCTGCAGGATGGCCTCCCGGTCCAGGATCACACCCGCCCTGGTGTGCCGGCTGCGCACCCGGCGGTCGGCGCTGCGCACTATCTGCACCAGCTCCTGGGAGCGGTCCTGCAGCCGGCAGTAGACGGAGAAAAGAATGATGCCCACGAACACCAGGATGTTCACCGTCAGCAAAGTTTTGATTTTCCTGGCCACCGCCATGAACGCGACTGGGGCGGGGGCTGCTTCACCCGCGGGACATCCCCGCCTCTCCACTGGCCGCCGCAGTTTCTGCGCGGCCAGCCGCCCCGGGCACCATGGGCTGGCGCCGGAGTCCGCGCCGCGCCCCCTGTGCCCGCTGGCCGCGGCTGGACCCTGGACGGGGAGGGGCGGGGCAGGGAAGGGCGGAGTACGGAGTTCCGGGAGCGCAGCCGGTGGGAGCTATCCCCTTCAGCACCACTCTACGTTGCTCTAGCCGGCCCAGTCACACCTGCGGCCCCAGCCACCGCCTCTGGCCCACGGCCCGGGTGTTGTGCAGCTACAGCCGCCCTCCTGTCGAGCCGCCGCTGCCCAGCCCCGAGCTCAGGGCGCAGGGCGCAGCGCGGAGCGCAGCCGGCATCCTCCGGAGGGGCGCAGCCTAGCCTGCAGCCCCAGGGAGACAAGGACGTGGGGAGCCGCGGCTTTGGGAGCAGGGAGGGCTGGGCCCAGGGACACTAGGGTACTGCGGAAACCTCCGGGGTTGGGCTGGCCAGGGCCAGGTCCAGAGGTGAAGGGACCGAGGAGGAAGACTAGAGAGGGCGAGGCGGCGGGCTGGCAGGCTCCGCGCGCTCTCAGCCTCTGCCGGTTCCAGCCCTCCCCACAGCCACAGCGCCGGTGCGGAGTGACGCGGCAGCCCCGGAACTCATCAGCATGCACACAGCGGAGCACCCTCTGCCTCTGCCTCCTCCCAGTCCCCGCCCCCCTCCGCCCCTCCTCTGCCCTCCCCAGCCCTGCCCGCGGGGTTCCCGGGGGCACCCAGCATGCTGGGACAGCCGCAGCGGGGTTGAACAGGCCTGGTCAGGGGGCAAGGCCATCTCCAGTCTAGTGCAATGAGTTAACAACGCTCTGCTGCCCGTGGAAGGTGCGAGCTAGACACGCTCAGATGGGCTACTGAAACCAAAGGCATCTAAGGACATTGGAAATACCCTCTCGGGCAGCCCCCAGTTCTTCCAGTCCTCTCTCCGACACCAGGAGAGCGCCTTTCATCCTCTGCGAGCTCCAGGTGAAGGGCACATATGGTCTTCCCTGAGACTGTAGGGACAAAAGGGAAGCAATAAGACAAGTCTGTGCCAGGGCCTCTCTCAATCCTGTCGCCGTGGTCCCCTTTGACCCTTCCCCTTCAGCGTGGTTGCGGCCATGTCTGTGGGAGTCATAGGAATACCCAAAGGATAGAGTCTGTGGGGAAAATCTTACTACCCAGTTATGTAGTCACATAGCTCCTGCCCCACCCCTCAACCCCCTTTCCCATCTCTCATTGTGGCTACCACTTGACTGGGACTTTTTTGAATGAAAGAAGGATACCCCCTCGGGTGGCATGTAGGGCAGGACCTCTCTCTGTGTGGCCTTATTCTGGGGAGAAGAGAAAGACCAAGATGGGTCTGGCAGGGACCTGCCCCTTGAACTAAATCCTACAAGAATCAACAATACTAGGTCTAGGCAAAGGCCAAAGCTGCCCATATTTAGGGCACAATAAAGCACCTAGAACTTCAAACTCCACCTCAGGAAGGAAATGGAGGAGCTTTGGTTAACAGAAATGTGCCTTTCCCTGCTTCTCCTCCTTTCCCTAAGAATATGGAGAAATGAGTTTATTATGAGGGCCCCTTAATTGTCTATGCTCAGTAACAAGTTGGAACCCTTAGCTGAATGAAACAGACATTAAAGATGGTGGGCCCCACAGTGTTTTAGTTCCACTGATGCTGTCCCTGTTGAAAAATTGTGTTTCCTGATACTCCTGTCAGGAAATAGCCATTTGCTTTTTTTCTTTTTAATACACTGACCACTCAAATTTGTCTTGTTATATGTGCTTAAATAATTCAGATTATTGTTGTAATATATATTCATGTGGGCATGGTCAACTGAAGAAGAAGTTTTCCATTGTTATCATCAGTACTCAGGGGATCAAGGCATACACAACAATTCTATTTAAACTCTAGATTGAAAGGACAAAAATGCCACCTGTCTTATATCAGATTTTTATTAGATATGATGCTATTTGGAGGTAGTCCTGAATTAGCAAGTATGTGTATCAGAGTTCTGTTGGCTTGGAATGCAATCATTATATGGCATCATGAGGTTTACAAATTTAAATCTCAGAACAACCTGGGAGCTAAGTGCTACCAGTACTCCCATTTTTCAGACGAAAGACTTGAGGCTGGCAGATATTAAGTCACATAGCTAGCAAATCTGTGTAACAAGATGTGAATTCTAGTCTTCCCTAATCTTCTGACTGGAGTCCTGCTCACAAACCAGTTGACTAGGGTAATAATTTGTGAAGTTAATTCCATGATTGTAATCAACTGAGTGGGAAAGTATTGACTAACTCTATCTTCTTCCTGAGGAATGGAATGTGTATAGGCAAGGTGAGAGAAATTTAATTATGCTATCACTTACTGGCAGATACAACCGGCCAAAGAAGGCAGGATGTATTTGTCTTGAACAAACAAATGACTGGAGTTGACAATAGAAATTTTGACATTAACCTCTACTGGATCTTTAGCTTTAGGACAAATACATGCAAGCCTGTCAAATACTTCTCTATGCTGAACATTATTTTTTCCTATGACTGTTCTGCTATCCTAATTATACATGAATTCTACAGCATGAGCAGGGACTTTCCTGATCTTTTCAATTATTAGCACCCTCTCTCTTTTGAAATGACTCTGTATAACTTTGCATATGCTCTGTTTTTATTCATCTACTTACATATTGTTTGAGAGTCAGCATAGCATGGGGAATAAGAGCTTACCTCAGAGCCAGGAAGGTCAGGATTCAAGTCCTGACTCTGACACTTACTGTCTACATAATCCTGGGCAAGTCACATAATGTCTCAGGGTTTTTGATGATTTCTCTAAGAATATAAGTTGAATAAATGGTGCCAACCTGAAGGGGTAGAGTGAATTTCATCACTAGGAAAGTGGCAGTGAAATTATAGGTCCAATCTCTATTTCTGTTCATATTTTATATCCCTTCATTTGAAAATAAATTCCTAAAAGTCAGGGGTTTAGTTTTTTCTTTGTTTCCCTAGCACCTAGCATGGGGATAAGCTACAGATAGTCTTTGGGCTATTTGTATACTATCTGTTTGTTTTCGGGAGCGGGCCATGATTTCATCAGTATAGGGGACTCTGGGACACTGGCATGTAAGGAACACTTGATATATGCTTGTTGACTTCCTGACTTTCAGAGGTTAAATGACTTCTACATAGCCAATATTTGTCAGAGACAGGATCTGAACCCAGGTCTTTCTGACTCCAAGCTCTATCCATAACTCTATACTGTCTCTCATCTTTCACTTCATATTGAATTAAATTGAATGAATAAGATAATTCAGTACTATAGTCTCTACTGGATATATGGCCACATCACACTATGCCTCTTACATCTTTATATGTAAAGGTTTTATCCCTGTCACTCCTCAACCACCCCACTTGCCAACATCTTCTGTTGGCTGTGGTAACCATGCTGCCACTCAGCTACACGTGGCATGAGGCCACAGGTTCCCCACCCCTGCTCTAGGCCCATTGTGGTTGTATATAAAAGTATTCTGAAAAAAAAAAGGAATGTAACAGCCATTTTGTAGTTAAGGATACAAAAGCAGACAATGACTAGGAAACATTCTGGGAATAGGATGACAGGAACATAGATTTGGAGCTGGAAAGAATCCTAGAGGTTAACTAGTTCAACTCCACCAACCCATTTTATAGATAAGGAAGTTGAGTCTCTGAGAATTTAGAAAAGAAACCCCCATCTTCAAGCATCTGGTTAGCTTTCTCAAGCCAGAATCATCTGAAGACTATAGTCAAAAGTCCACTAAAACCCAAGAGCTTAACCTCAAGTAAGATTTTAGGATCATATTGACAGAACTGGAAGGGGCTCTAGAGAGCACCAAGTCCTGTCCCCTCATTTTATAGATGGGGAAAATGAGGCATTGAAAGTTTAAGGACTTTCCCAGGGACACACAGCTAGTGAGCGTCTGAGGCATGTTTGGAAACCAGGTCTCTCTGAGCCCAACCCTAGTGCCCTATCCACTATGGCATGTGGCCTGTCAAAGAATATGAAGAAAGAGACAAGGAATTCATGTAATCAACAATGACAACCTGAGTCAACTTGGGATAAAAGGAAAGGACAGTGTGAAAAGAGGATCCCTAACCCTTTGGAGTAGTACACTTCCAAGTCTTCAGTTTCATGAATCCAGGACAATCAGGTTTCTGTTTTCTGATGACCAGGAATGAGACTTGGTTGCTGGTGAACCCAACAATTAAATTATCTAGACTTGGTTATCAATTTAGAAATTACTGAAACCACTACTCCCAGACTTCATCATATCCTAGAGGAGGCTCTAGGTTCTTAAAAGCTATGCTATTAGAATGCAAACTTATGCCAGATCCTACCAAGATGGAAAGTCTTTGAGTGTGAAAATGGTGGACTGTGCATCTGCTGACCAAGAAGCTACACAAGTAAGTGGGAAGAGATAACAATCAGTAGGTGATCAGTCAATCAACAAGCATTTATTAAGCCATCTGGGTCCAGTAGCAAAATATAGATCAGGATGACTGGAGATAGCCTCAAGAGAATAAATAAAAGGTAGATAAATACAAAGCAGTTAGAGACAGAGGGTACTAGCAATTTCAGGAATAAGAAAAGGCTTTATGTAGGTGATGCTTCAGCTGAGTTTAGAAGGAAGTGAAGAATTCTACAGAGTGGAGTTGAGGAAGAAGAACATTCCAGACATAGGGAGACAGCCAGTGTGAAGGTATATATATATAGAGAAAGAGTGCCACTTGTGAAGAACAGAGGAAAGACCAATTTGGCTGGACGATAGCATGTGTGAAGGGTGGCAATATGTATCAAGATTGGAAAGAGAGGTGGGAGTCAGGCTGTGAAGGACTTTAAATGCCAAACATAAGAGTTTATATTTTTTCCTATAAGCAATAAGAAACCACTATGGCTCATTGAACAGTGGAC